AGCATTTGTATTGCTGTCTACCTTGATCATCTTGCCTAACCAGTTTCCAATCCTTCTAAAAAAGCTTCATCATAGAATTCAATGGGAATATCCGGTAGACGAATCCAAGCAGCAATCTTAGCAATTCCAGCACTATTAGGTCTGAAAGTTGGTTCCCACTTCCTCAACGATAAATAATGACCCAAAACAATCCATGGACCACCGTTCAACGCAAAATTGAGATCATCCTTCTCACTAAACTGGACTACGAAAAAGTCATTACCAATATCAGTGACATTGATTTTGCCTTTTCTAGCCCATAAGACATTTATTTTTTTCTTCATAAACTCCACCCCAATTTTCTTCCCAAGGAGTTTAACAATCAGAGCTTTCTCCCAAGGTTTCCTCATTCTCTTCCTTGCTCTTTTGGTGCAACTAAAATAAGTACGCCCATCATCTTCCTCCCACATCTTAATTCCTCCATGGTTGACATCCTCTTCCTCAGCAGGTTCCTCCCCATCTAAGTCTTCCTCGGCAGACGCCTCTCCTTCCCATTCATCATCTTCTCCATTATGACGCATCAGAATTTCCCTCCAGGTTGAACGTTGGCCATTCTCATCTTCCATCCAACCTTCATGTCTAGGTATCATAGATACATCATTTGAAAACTGATCTCCCTCACCTTTATTCCTCTTATTACTTCTTTGAAGAATGTCAAGTTCTTCACTTGATTTGCCAGGATTCTTCCCATGATCACCTTTCTCTCTCTCACTCATCGCTCAATTGAGAAAAAATATTTTTAGTGCTTTCTTTGGAGAACTATATTTCCCATACACCGAAAGAAAATGATGACAGTAACTAAAGTACGGATATTTTATTGTAGGGGATTCAAACAAAAAGAATTTCTAATTTTTTTTGAATTTATGATATTATTTCATAAAACTTCAAAAAGTCATAACTTTTAATTCAGATGTGCGAATTAAGTTCTTTTTTTATTCAACATAACTTTTTAAGAGCTATGCATGGCAAATCCGAAAAGAGGATTTGGTCAAATTAATTTCCTAAAAAATCGGACCACATTATATTATATTATCATTTTTTTGAAAATCTTTTTTAAAAAACTACATATTTCGGACACCTGAGTAATAGTCCATGTAATCGATTAAATGATCTCAATCTTTCCACATAAATTTTTTTGGTTATATGGAATAAAAAAAGCACACGATTCGGACACCCGAGTTAAAAGTTATGGTTTTTCGAAGTTTTACTGTAAAATATCTGAAATTCGAAAAAAAATTGGAATTTTTTTTGTCCAAATCCCGTACAATGAGATGTCATTGCGTAGATCTCGAAAATTTATATGGAATAAAAAAATCACTTTATTCGAATACCCGGGTAAAAAGTTACGACTTTTCGAAATTTTACGGTAAAAATATTGACTTTTGTGTCACGTGTGAGCGTGTTAATGGTGCAAAGTCGCACTTGTGTGGGGCGTGACTTTGCGTAGGTTGCGCCTGTGTGGGGCGCATCCTTGTACATGAGTTGCGACTACATATGGCGCGACTAACAGCTATAGATTCGTAAATTGGTTTCAATCTACTATGTTTTCGTAATTTTTTATTTAAATAATAATATATTAACTTTTTGTCTGCTAATTACATGAGCATAATGACTGTTATGCTTGTACGACTATATTAAAAGTCATTATAGTAATTAATTCATATTTTGAAATTTAAATGTTATAGTTATTACATTTGTAGGCTGAATTAACGGTCATTATGGCATTAATTCAAATTTTTGAAATATGTGCATAATGAATTTAATAATTTAATGATCGTTATGATAATTATTTGATTTCAAATTATCCTCATAAATAATAATTACTATGATTGTTGAAATCTAGATTAATAATTAGGTCAGTTATTTGATGATTTAAATCTAGAAAAATAATTAATAAAATTTCTTAAAAGAACAATTTATTTTGCAAGTAATTTGTGAGTATTCTAAAATGGTCATGTGTTAAACTCACGCTGTATATCATAATCATGTATCATGGTTGTATGAAGCACACACTGCCTATTATGACCGGATTTTAGAACCTTAATGATTTCAAAATTTCGACAAGCTAAGTGATGCATGTTTCTCAGCGCGCGTGCTTGCATAGTTTTTGAAATAAAACAAAGGTTACTCTATATTAAACAATTCTTGAAAATTGAAAAAATTGCTTATGTTGAATGGGAGGAGATTTAAATTAAAAAATTAATTTAACCTCGAAGCGCACCATAGGACCATTAGTAAAATAATCATGTGAAGCCCCATCAGATAAATATGATTGGACCTAAATAATCATGAGAGGAAATTTAAATTAAGAAATTAATTTAACCTCTAGGCGCATTGTGGGCCTATCAATAAAATAATCATGTGATTCTCCCACGGATAAGCATGATTGAATTTTATGGAGCCTTAATAATTTCAAAATTTTAATAAAGTATTGTACAACCCGGCGTCAACAATACTAAGTTATTAAAGATAATTTTTTAAATTAAACAATGAATTTTTACATTCAACAAAGCTAATGAAAATTCTCATTAAAAATATTGAATGTGTTTATTAGTGAAATGGTTATCGCTAAATAAGGATAATCGCATTTTACGAGATTAAATCTTAATAATTTCAAAATTTTAGTAAAGTTTTATACGACCCATCGTCGGCAATGCTTGGATACTAAGGATAATTTTAAAATTAAACAATGGTTAATTACATTCAAATTTGGTAAAATTGTTAACCTTCCATAGGAGCTAATATTGAAAGTTGGGAAATAGTGGGGAAAGACGAGCAAGAACGTAAGAGAGAAAGAGAGAAGAGAGAGAGATATATATTTCTGAATATTACTTATCTATTACCTCGTTCCACGGGGTACTTATACTCATAGCTGAATTACATGATAATAGAAAGACTGTAATTAAAATGACTTGGGTAATTAAAAAAAAACAGAAACTATCATAGTTACTGAATTACACTATCCGCGTGTCCGTCCGAGCGTGTCGGAGCAAGTCCGGATACGTGTACGACACGCAAAATTTATAAAATTTTTGCGTCCATGCTTTGCAGAGTATTAGTGACGAATGTCGACGAAGAAGAAAATTGTCACATAAATACCTTAGTAGCGATTTTTATATCTTTTGATGGTGATTTTTGTCATCACAAAAAGTGTATTTTTTGTAGTGATTAAAAAATTTTAAAATAAATTATTTTAGTTCATATGTCAGATTAAATCATTAAAATAAAGGTAAATTAAATTTTTAACCAATGTCAGATTAATCATGATGTTAGAATTAGTTAATTCGTTGACCATTGTCTTTAACCAATAAGTATAAAAGATATATATATATATATATATATATATATATATATATATATATATATATCATAACCTGTTGAAAAGGTACCATATTATTACTATAAGAATCTTATTTACTATTACAAATCCACTTTACGTATCTTATGTCGATTAGAGACCCTTATACGCACGCCCTCCACAAATTAAGATAGAATAAAATTAGGGGACTTGTTCACATGATTCCCAATCCCTTTGACATTGTCAAAATCACTATAACAAGTCGGGCTTTCATTGAAATTACTGACAGGAAAATGTGCAGAAGCAACTCCAACTGAGAATTGGAGCTCGTTGTCTTGGCGAGTGACTGACCTAATTTTTACCCATAGAAAAAGCACCTTCGTTTGAACTCCATCTAAGTTGGAGATCTTGTCCTCCGTGATGTCACCCGATATGGTGGACTTATACTTCAGCTTGTGAGATTGAATTTTAAATGAGCAAGTATTATTTAGGTACACTTCGAATTTGCCGGTGGAGTTGTCCAATTTGTAGCCAACCGCGTCTTTGGGAAGAATCCCAATTGGGAAGTTGTACTGTTGAAGGACATCGTATGCAGTGGTGTTTTGGGCAGAGGTTGAAGGCATTAAGAAAAAGATCAACAGAGAAACAACAAAGAGAGGTATTGGGGAGACGGGTTTTGCTTGAAAATTGATATCCATGATTTTTGGTAAGCTGAAGCTCTTGTGTGTGCAAACCAAGATTGGTGGTCTTTATCCAAGACCAAGATTTCAAATTTTCAATTGAGCCTGCAGAGAGAAAAGTTAATGTAATAATTCTTTGGTTTTGGTTTATTTAAAGGCTAAGAGTAACGTTCTTATTGTTCAACATCCAACCTCTCATAAATCTCAATTATGATGTAATTAATAATTTTGAATTTTCAACTAAGGGTGTGATTTGACCTTTGATCATGTTTTTATTATGAGAAAAGTGTGTGTCCTTTTAAAGGACACAAACTTAAGTCATTTTAAGAAAGAGATAGACACAAAGAGGTGTGGATTCCATTAAAAAAAATAAAGACGTGGATCGCATCTTTTGTCTTTATCTTTTTCTTAAAAGAACCTACGTTTGTGTCCTTTAAAATGACACACATGTTTTCCATAATAAAAACATAGTCAAAGATCCAATCATTTAATAAAAACATAGTCAAAGGTCCAATCACACCCCTAGTATAAAAGGATACACTCATTTTCCCATGATGGGAAAAGATTTATCCTCTCATAAATCTTAATTATGGTGTAATTAATGTATTCAAACTTTAAACTATTAAAATATAGTGAATAGCTCTCAAAAGATAGAAAGATACAATATAAATATTTAATTTTCTTAAAAAAAATTATCATTAAATTATACAGTTAATTGTAGGATAAGCATTGGATTGTAAATTGTAATGACATCTGGATTGGATATCAAAGGGATTGAAAATTGCATCCTAATATTATACAACCAAAAGTAGGTTCCATTATAACTCGATAGTTATGACATCATAAATATTATGAAAGAAAATTTAAGGACATCATAAATATTATGAGAGAAAAAAAAGCAAGTAAAAAAATAACATGATAACATGTGTTATATATATTGGAAGGAATCGAATTGCAGCGATGGGAGTTTTAAAACTTTTACATTCTTTATTGAACGTTTATTTTACTTATATTCTTTATTTTAATGAATTATTCATTATATAATTATAACAAAATATTTGAATGTTTCAAAAAAAATATTAAGTCAAGAGACAAAATGAATATTTAAATTTTTTATATATTAAAATAGATTACAAAATATTTTTTACATCACAAAAAAGAAAAAAAAGAAATATTTATAATAAATTTTTCTTTGTTCCATTCATAAATATGACAAAAAAATTCATTTATATCCATAATAAAAAATTTGACAAGATAAACGATTATTTATTCGGTGACACTGTTATGTTTTACTGTTGTGTTACCTTATATCCGACACGTGTAAAATTTGAGTTTTTGTAACAGAATTTTAGCTCCGATCACATGTTTTATTATTTATTTGGCGGAGAAATTTAAGTTTGGACAATAAAAATTGGGGACCACAAATGCATTTTGTATTTTTAATGGTTGAACTTGTAACAAAATTACATTAACAGTTGAGGTTATTTGTTTACTTGCAACTTACTGAATATGTTATGTTATATAATTATCAATTTGAAAATAGTCTTTTAAAATGATATAAATTGTGTATAAAATTAGTCCCTACGTAACTCCTATTACGTACATTTTAATCTATCAGATTTGATTTTTCTATTGAAGATTGTTTTCTCTCATCATGGGCATGCATAAGTGTAGAAGTTGTTGAAACATGAAATTCCATCCGCAATGTGTTCAGAAAGTTTATTTTGTTACTATTATTATTTTTAATTGTGACAAAATGATAAATTTTCACCATAATTTCATTAATAGTGACAAATATATATCTATCACAAATAATTCGTCACTGATATAAATTTTTAATCAATAAATTATTTTTACACAATAAGATCATCACTGATATAAAACTTTAAAGACGTAAAAAAAAAATAGTAACAAAATTTTAACTTCTGATTAATATCATGTCATAATATTGACAACAATAAAACTTATCAATCATTATTTTGTTACTAGTGACAAATAATTCATCATTAATAATTTGTAGCATTTATGTCTAAAATTATTCACAAATACTTAATATCATTATTAGTGAAAAATTTGTTACTACTATTATAAAAAAAGTATCAGGGACAAAAATTTGTGATGATTTTTTTCGTCTCAATAAACATTTCTTTTAGTGTCATCTTGAAATATCGTCACTGATTTAATCATGATGTCAGTATTAGCTATGATGCACGGACACTGACACGAAACACGGGACACGACACGCCGACACGTTAATTCTAAAAAATATCATATTTCGACACGTTGGGACACGTTTTGATAGTAAATAAAATTTTAATATATATAATATAATTTATATTTAATACATATAAGAGTATATAATAAGTCATATAATCAATCAAATATTTACATTTCATAACATAAATATAAATAAAAATAATTTTTCGTACTTTGTTAATTTTTCATGTCAAATTTCATAAAAGAAAAAAATTAATTTATAAATTATTTATTTATATTTAGTTAATAAAATAAAATTAAGATTAAAAAAAAATGTGTCCGAACCTTGACAGCATGTCCAAAAAAGTTGAATTCGTGTCAGAAAAACGTGTCAGAGAGTTGACCGCGTGTCCCCAAATGTTGATCGCATGTCCGAGCGTGCCGGAGCGTGTCCGTGTCGGATACATCTTCGACACGCAAAATTTATAAAATTTTCGTGTCCGTGCTTTCCAGAGTATTAGTGACGAATGTCGACGAAGAAAAAAATTGTCACATAAATACCTTAGTGGCGATTTTTATATCTTTTAAAGGTGATTTTTGTCATCACAAAAAGTGTATTATTTGTAGTGATTAAACAAATTTTAAAATTAAATTATTTTAGTTCATATGTCAGATTAAATCATTAAAATAAAGGTAAATCAAATTTTTAACATACTTTACATCTGAATTAGTTAATTCGATGACCATTGTCTTTAATCAAGAAGTATACAAGATATATATATATATATATATATCATAACCTGTTAAAAAGGTACCATATTATTACCATAAGAATCTTATTTACTATTACAAATCCACTTTACGTATCTTATGTCGATTAGAGACCCTTACACGCACGCCCTCCACAAATTAAGATAGAATAAAATTAGGGGACTTGTTCACATGATTCCCAATCCCTTTGACATTGTCAAAATCACTATAACAAGTCGGGCTTTCATTGAAATTACTGACAGGAAAATGTGCAGAAGCAACTCCAACTGAGAATTGGAGCTCGTTGTCTTGGCGAGTGACTGACCTAATTTTTACCCATAGAAAAAGCACCTTCGTTTGAACTCCATCTAAGTTGGAGATCTTGTCCTCCGTGATGTCACCCGATATGGTGGACTTATACTTCAGCTTGTGAGATTGAATTTTAAACGAGCAAGTATTATTTAGGTACACTTCGAATTTGCCGGTGGAGTTGTCCAATTTGTAACCAACCGCGTCTTTGGGAAGAATCCCAATTGGGAAGTTGTACTGTTGAAGGACATCGTATGCAGTGGTGTTTTGGGCAGAGGTTGAAGGCATTAAGAAAAAGATCAACAGAGAAACAACAAAGAGTGGTATTGGGGAGACGGGTTTTGCTTGAAAATTGATATCCATGATTTTTGGTAAGCTGAAGCTCTTGTGTGTGTGCAAACCAAGATTGGTGGTCTTTATCCAAGACCAAGATTTCAAATTTTCAATTGAGCCTGCAGAGAGAAAAGTTAATGTAATAATTCTTTGATTTTGGTTTATTTAAAGGCTAAGAGTAACGTTCTTATTGTTCAACATCCAACCTCTCATAAATCTCAATTATGATGTAATTAATAATTTTGAATTTTCAACTAAGGGTGTGATTTGACCTTTGATCATGTTTTTATTATGAGAAAAGTGTGTGTCCTTTTAAAGGACACAAACTTAAGTCATTTTAAGAAAGAGATAGACACAAAGAGGTGTGGATTCCACTAAAAAAAATAAAGACGTGGATCGCATCTTTTGTCTTTATCTTTTTCTTAAAAGAACCTACGTTTGTGTCCTTTAAAAGGACACACATTTTTCCCATAATAAAAACATAGTCAAAGATCCAATCATTTAATAAAAACATAGTCAAAGGTCCAATCACACCCTATAAAAGGATACACTCCTTTTCCCATGATGGGAAAAGATTTATCCTCTCATAAATCTTAATTATGGTGTAATTAATGTATTCAAACTTTAAACTATTAAAATATACGTGAATAGCTCTCAAAAGATAGAAAGATACAATATAAATATTTAATTTTCTTAAAAAAAATTATCATTAAATTATACAGTTAATTGTAGGATAAACATTTTTAGAAGGATTGTAAATTGTAATGACATCTGGATTGGATATCAAAGGGATTGAAAATTGCATCCTAATATTATACAACCAAAAGTAGGTTCCACTGTTATCAAAAAAAAAAAAAAAGTAGGTTCTATTATAACTCGATAGTTATGACATCATAAATATTATGAAAGAAAATTTAAGGACATCATAAAATATTATGAAAGAAAAAAAGCAAGTAAAAAATATAACATGATAAGATGTGTTATATATATTGGAAGTAATCGAATTGCAGCGATGGGAGTTTTAAAACTTTTACATTCTTTATTGAACGTTTATTTTACTTATATTCTTTATTTTAATGAATTATTCATTATGTAATTATAAAAAATATTTGAATGTTTCAAAAAAAATATTAAATCAAGAGACAAAATGAATATTTAAATTTTTTATATATTCAAGTAGATTACAAAATATTTTTTACATCACAAAAAAGAAAAAAAAGAAATATTTATAATAAATTTTTCTTTATTCCATTCATAAATATGACAAAAAAATTCATTTATATCCATAATAAAAAAAATTACAAGATAAACGATTATTTGTTCGGTGACACTGTTATGTTTTACTGTTGTGTTACCTTATATCTGACATGTGTAACATTTGAGTTTTTGTAACAGAATTTTAGCTCCGATCACATGTTTTATTATTTATT